CAACAATTAAGCGGACAAAACATTGACTTCTGGGGAGCTCTGGTGGCCTAGTGGCAAGGAGCTGCAACTACAATCCCAGAGGTACACGGTTCGAATCCACCAGATGCTCTGCCGGGAAAGGAGGGACAATCTCCTCCTGTACCAGTCAGATCTGATTTGATGGTACACTCACACAAAAATAAAATTAAAAAAAAAAAAAATTGACTTCTTACTCTCTCCAAACAGAATGCCTGGGTAGTACAAATGGTTAAGCGTTCAACCACTAGCCAAATGCTTGGTGGTTCAAACCTACCCAGAGGTGCTTTTGGAAAAAAAAAACGACTTGGCAATCAGCTTCCAAAAGGTGACAGTCTTTAAAAAAGGCCACATAGCTTACTAAATAGATTGATCAAAAATTCCACAGACAAATTCTCATTCAGTAAAGAATGTCATAAAGCAAAAGGTATCTGAACAACTGAATGGAAAAGTCATTTTCATTGTAAAATTTGCCTCACATCACAATGAAAAGAAAAGAGATGAATTCTGATCAAAAGGGAGAAAATGCAGAACAGATTTTCAAATGCTCTGAGAATTCAGATCTTCCGGAGCTGTGGAGGTTGGGTGTACCCCTGGAATTATGTACCACCCTGAGATCACCTTGAAATCTTCAATTCCGTAATAGCTCCTGGGGTCTTAGTTCAGCTAAACTGTAAAGATTGTCTGCCTCGAATATTATGCGCTTTTAAAAACAACCTGTTGATGTTGCTTTTAGGTGTCTTTATGCACAACAGACTGGCAGATCCTGCACCATCCTCCCCATACCCCAGACCCACTGTTGCAGTCACCTCGTCTGTTCAACTCACCGAGTCTTCTAGACCCTCTACTAAGAATCACCTCTCCAAACTCATCGACATCAAGTCTGAAATGACCCAGAGCTGAGCCTCCAGCTGGTTTTTGGAGGATTTAAACTAACTTCCCGAAATAGACAGCCCATCTTTCTCCCGATGAGCTCCTGGTGGATTCGAACTGCCAGAGAAAAGCCTTTTGCTTCTGAGTTATCAGCGTTAACTCCCTAGAGACTGGGCCACCAGGGCTCCGTGGATGAGATCAAATTAACAACAAAGGAAAAGATGACAGCGGAAACACAGGGAAGTGAATTTATTATGCCAATGGAGGAGGTATAACCCAGAGCTTAATCCAAGCCAGCAAGAGAAGTTTGTAGAAACTGTTTTGGAGTGTATCCTCAGCCATAGCAAAAAGACAAGTATCAAAACAAACCAACACAGAGCCGCTCTGCACCGTGCGTGGGAACCCCGTCACCTCCTCCAACAGCAATGAATATTTCCAGGTTCAGAGAAATGGGTACGGTCTCAATCCAACTCCCCAGGCTGGTCTGGAGGGAGGTACACCCAGGCAGGGTGCTAACCCCTAGCCCCTCATCTCGGATAGTGTCCCCATCTCGGGGTGCACATTCACACAGATGGGGTGCATTTAATCCCCGGTTCCTCACCTTGGACAGTGGCCCCCCCCAGGGGGTCACGCTTACGTAGATGAGGCACTGACCATTGGATGTCCACCTCAAACACTCCCACCCCAACCCCACCACCTCGAGCGCATGCTCGCGTAGATAAGAGCCTGACCTCGGGGTTTCCATCTCGGACAGTGGCCCCACAATGGGGTGCACTGTCCACTACACTCAAGAAGGAGAGGCAGGGACCCCCAGCTCCCCCTGGCTTCCCAGTCCCTGTCCTGGGCGCATCCTCACGTAGATGATGGCACTGACCGCCCCCCAGCTCCTCACCTTGGACAGCACCCCCACCCTGGGGTGCACACTCACGCAGTGAGGCGATGACCCCCGCATTTTCACCTTGGACGGGTACCCGGGTACCCGGGTTCTCCACCTTGGACAGGGCCCCACGGGGAAGGTGGAAAAGGGGAATGCGCGCATGCGCACTCACATAGACGAAGCACCGACCCAGGTTCCTCACCTTGGCCAGGACCCCACCCTGGCGCATGCGCACCCGGTTCCCCACCTCGGACAGGGCCCCACGGGTGGGGTGGGGGGCGCATGCGCACTCACACAGACGAGGCACCCACCCGGGTTCCCCACATTGGCCAGGACCCCACCCTGGCGCATGCGCACCCAGGTTCCCCACCTCGAGCACGCGTACTCACGTAGATGAGGCCGGAGTAGTAGCGCTCGCGCAGGTTGTGCAGGACCGAGGCCTCGTTGAGGCAGGTCAGCTCGGCCATGTCCTCGGCCTTGCTGAACTTGGGCGGGTTCATGCGCTGGATCTGGTCCCGCGGAAGCCGCAGCCGCCGGCCGCTCTCCGCCAGCTCCACTTCGGCCTCCTCCTCGCCTTCGTCCCGCAGCGCCGCAGCCTCGAACCCGTGTAGCTCCGAGGGCACCCACACCAGGCGCCGGGCCGTCCACTCCACCTGCGGCGAGGTGCCCGCCACCCCGGGGCCACCTGCCCCGCTCGGCCCGCGGGCCGTGAACAGGTACGGCTGGGCAGCCTCGGGCACCGGGCCCGGCCTGGGGGGCACCTTCCGGCCTGGCACCGACATCGTCACAGCTGCCATAGTCTGCAGGGGACAGAGGGTGCAGGTCAGGTGGGTGGGTGCCCTCGGTCCCCCAGGGAGTGCCCACTGCCTCCCATTTCCCCGACCTCATTCAACACTTCTACAAAATGAGTCAAAAAGCGCTGGACTACTAGCCAGAAGGTTGGTGGTTCAAATCCATCACAGGTGCCTCGGAAGAAAAGCCTGGCAAGCAGTGGCCAAAAAAAAGTCTCAGCCTGGGAAACTCAATAGTGTACAGCAGACATGGAGTCGCTTTATGGCTCAATTAACACTATGGCAACGAACAAGAGAAGCCTTTACAGTTTCCATTCATTCACTTCTTTATCCATCCATTCATTCACGCGATACCTTAATAAGATCCTCTGTGGTTTGTATTTGACCTGAAGGTTGGTGGTTCGAACTCGCTCACCAGTGCCATGGAAGAAAGGCCTGGCAATCGGCATCCATAAAGATCAATTTCCAACTCGGGGACCAGAGTATAGAACTGCTTCATACCTTTCTTAGTTGCCATCTTTATGGAAAAAAGATCACCAGGTCTTTCTCCCAATAGATGGCTCTGAATCACCAAGGTTTTAGTTAGGAGTTAAGCATTTCACCCTCTCCCCACCAGGATTCCTTTCACCCCTAACATTTCTAAGGCCATTAATCTTTGAGAAAACTGATTGCTACACCTTTCTTCCAAAAAGACCAACCCCTGAATTTGAACCACCAACCTCTAATGTTTAGTAGTCTAGCATCCTAGAAAGTCATCAGGGTCTTTCATCAAGCTACCACTCCAGCAAGTACTATGGAGCAGTTCTGCTCTGTATGTAACATGCACTGTAACGCCAGCCACTTACCAGCTGTGCCTACCAGGCTATGGAAATGTCACAATCCCGGCTGATGGCATGCATTTGTTTCTCCTCGTTTTAGTTACATTTAAACGCAACCAGCCACCCTGGGAAGTTGCTCTACTAGCCCTCAGACTGAGCATCTCTGCTGGTTCAAATGCATCTCCTCCCGTGTAATTTACAGCCTCCGAAAACCCTCTGGAGAGGCAGCTGTGAGTCGGTTCTGACTATCAGGGGCAGTAAATTTAAGTCCCACAACATTGGTGGGTACTTGAAATGCAGCAAGTCCAAATGGACACGCGTTATACACAGTAAAATACACCCCAGATTTCAAAGACGTTGCATAACAAAAAGACAGCACAATATCTTATTAAGAAGTTTTTATAATGATTGCATGTTGTTGCAGTGATATTTTGGATATACGAGGCTAAGGGAAAAGAAGATATAATTAGTATTAATGCTACTTGTTTCTTTTCAATTTTTTGTTTTAATGTGACTCCTAGAATATTTTAAATCACACATTTAGCTGACTTTGGGCTTTCTATTGGACACCCCTGCTTTAATCCCAGGAGAAAGATAAAAAGATAAGTAAATTATATAGTAGGTCAAATGATGAGGAATGCCAAGGAGAAAAATGAAGCAGAAAATGGGGGGATATGAAGGAGAAGGCAGAGGGGTGTTGCAATTTTAATTATGGTGGACAGAGAGAGCCTCTCTGATGTGGTATTTAAACAAAGACTTGAAGGGAGCCATGGAGCTGTCCAGAGGAAAATAATTCCAGGCACAAGGAACAGCCTCTGCAAAGGCCCCAAGGCAGAAAGATACTTAGGTATTTAAGGAACACAGCGGAATTCTGGGCATAGGGAACAGCTTGTGCAAAGGCCCGGAGGCAGGTATATGGCACAGTAAGAAGGCCAATGCAGCTGATAGTGGGCAAGCTAACAGGAGAAGGTGGGAGGGGACCTCAGAGAGGGGACAAAGAGAACCTTGTGGGTCACAACAAGGATTATGCTTTTATAGTGTGTGAGCAGAGAGCCAGGGGAGGGTACTAATCTATGTCACTCAGGTTCCTTAACTGCCTGCAGCCAGCCTTGTGCATACAGAACAGCCTCCTAGACCACTGTCTCAATTTCTGTCTCTGTAAAATGAGTAGACTGGAAGGGAGCTCTGGTGGCCTAGTAGCAAGAAGCGGCAGTACTGCTTACAACCCCAGAGGTGTGAGGTTCGAATCCACCAGATGTCCTACTGGTCAGATCTGATTTGACGATACACACACACACACACACACAATTAAAAAAATGGGTAGACTGGCCCCATTAATGGAGTGATGAAGGCTTTGACTGCTAACCTCAGGCCAGCATTTCAAAATCTACAAGCCACTTTGCAGAGGAAAGATGGGGCATTCTGCTTCCATAAAGGTGACAGCTTTGGAAACCTTACAGGCAGTTCTCTGTTCCACATGGGTCACCATGAGTTGGCAATTGACCTGATAGCAGAGAGACTGTCTTCCATGGTTTCAGATGCCCCACCAGTGCTCTCCAGACCCAGATATTTATTTTTCTTTCCCACTAGCTCTGACCTGTACTTCTGCCCACAAGGCCAAGAGGCATCCTGCCACCCTCCTCCATTTCCAATAATTCCATAAGAGCCCCTCCAAATCCCCGCCTCCCTCCGTCCCTCCCCCCCATCCCAAGGTTTGGCCCCAGCGCCAGGCCTTTACCTTAGTTCTGACTCCTAAGGCCTCCCTTACTCCCAGCCCTGGTTCGCTGAACACTGAAGGTTTCCAGAATCAGCTAATGGGGTTCCTGCTCCTTCCAGGCTCCACACTGCCAGGGATCCCCCAGGCCTCCCGTGTGGCCTTGGTCAGTCCACCCAGAATCCAAGCCAAACTCCATTCCCGGGACTTTATCCCCCACCCCACCCACTTCCTCTCCAGTCCTGTGGCCTTTGACCAGGAAGAGTTTGGAAGTTTTTCCAATCACCCAGCCCTCAATCTCTCTTCCCTGGAGCCGGGAGTATGGCTCTCAGACCCCCACTCCTCCCTCAGACCCAAACGTCTTAACACCCAACTCCCACCTCTTCAAAACTCTGAGGTTCAAGCCCCCAACCTCTCCTCCCTCAGACTGGGCAGCCTTGACCTTCACCCCCTCCACCCTCAGATCCAGGAGTCCTGATCCCCAGCTCTGTCCACCCTCAGACCTAGGAGTCCAGCCCTCTCTTCCCTTGGATTCTCAGCCCAGGCCTGCTCACCCAACACAGGGTTGGGGGGGGGGCCTGGAGTCCAAGCCAGGCCAGCCAGTGGCCCTGATGGGGCGGACCGGCAACCTCAGCTCCCCGCTGCCTCTGCCAAAGCTCATTCCTGTCACTTGGGCAGGTGAAAGCACCTGGCCTGGGAGGGGCACAGACGGCTGGAGGAGAAGGTGCCAGGGATCCGCCCCTGGGGCAGGGGTTGGGGCCCTTGGCATCCAGTTTTCTGACCTCAGATTACTGCTAGTATACCGGAGTCCCGGGCCCAGCCCCTCCTCTCTCAGACCAGGAGCCTGACCCCACCTCCTCCTTCAAAACGGAGAGTGGGGTGCCCCGGCCCCTCCTAGACCAGACCCAGAAAGTTCAGGCCCCCAGCCCCTCCTCCCCTGACATACAGGAGTCCTGACTCCCAGCCCCTCCTCCTTCGAACCCGGGTGTCCAGGCCCCAGTCCCTCCTCGGACCCCAGGGTCCAGGCCGCAGCCAGATCTTTCTCAGAGACGGGAGTCCGGCTCCCAGCCCTTTCCTCCCCAGGACTCAGAACTCCGGGGCCCCCAGGTCCTTCCTCTATGGGACCCAGGAGTCCGGCACCGGTCCCCTCTTCGCTTGGACCCAAGTGTCGGGTCTCCTTCGCTCTCAGACCCTAGAGTCCGTCCTGCTACCATCTCCCTCCCGTCTCAGACCAGGAATTCTGGTCCCCCAGCCTCCTGGCCCCCTCCTCCCTCCGATCCAGTTCAGCCCCCCAACTCTCTGCTCCCCCCAGACTCAGGAGTCCGAGCGCCCAACCCCCCTTCCCTCCCCGGGTACCCAGCGCTCGTGCCGCCACCCCCCTCAGCTCGCAGGTCCTCGGGGCTACCTGGGGGCGCCGGCTGGTGCCGGGATCAGGGAGATGGGGAGCGCAGCACACGGAGATCCCGGCTCCGCTTCAGCGCGCTCAGGTGCGGGGACCTCCGCCAGCCAGCGCGGGGTGGGGCCACGCCGCGTCAGGGGGCGGGGCGCCGGTTCTGACGTCACCCAACACCTGCCCGGGTGGGAGGGGCGGGCCTGGCGCTGGAGGTGGGAGGGGGCGGGCTGAGCGCGTAGCCAGGTGGGCGGTGGCGGTGCCAGGGGGCCCGCCCCTTCCCTGGTGGCAGAGAAAGGTCAGGGCGCACACAGCGCGGCGGAGGGCTGTCGCTTTTCCATTCGAGCTATCTGGGCCTCAACTTTCCTGTCTGTGAAATGGGACCAATGAAATCACACGACGAAGGGAAAAGAGCCCACCAGCCTAGGGCGTCTGTCTCTGAACCTCAGTTTCCCCAACCCTGGCAATGGGATAGTGCAGCCCACTGAGAGGATAGCGCACACCAGATGACACGACAGACTGCTGTTTGGCTTCGCCTCCTCTTGGGTGAACTCAAAACTAAACTCACTGTCATTGATCTCAACTCATAGAGACCCTCCGCTGTAAATTACACAGGAGGAAACCGCTCACCTTTTTTCCTGCAAAGCGGTTGGTGGATTCGAACTGCTAGAGTAGTGTGTGGCCTTTTGGTTACCCGTGCAACTCGCTACCCTTACAAGTAAGGGCAAAATACTACTGTGATGTGGTTTCCTCAAAAACCTGATCGTGGGAGCTCTGGTGGCCTAATGGCAAGAAGCTGCACTGCAATCCCAGAGGTACACTGTTCAGATGCTCTGCTGGAGAAGGAGAGACAATCTCCTCCTGTACCAATCAGATCTGATTTGACGGTACACACAAATAACAAAATAAAAATTAAAAAAAAACAAACACAAAACCAAACCTGATCGTACAACTACCCTATAACCCTAGGTATGTATACATAGGCTTCATTTTCTTGCATTTTGCAGGTATTACAGGAAAAAGGGGGGAGGGGAAGACGGAAGGTTTGTGGAAACCCTGCACAGAACAAGTCTAGTGCCTCGAT